TTTGGAGAGGGTATGGGTGGGGTATGAAACGGGGCCATGTGGGGCCGGCTAAAGCCTAAATTTTTGATATACTTGTGAGATTTTCTTCTTTATTGTGATAGATAAAACACCTTACTAGTATGTTCCGATATTGTACGTTGATTATATGACTCATTCTTATACTTTCTTTAAAAAGTTGATGTGTTGATTTGTTTCTTCGAAGAGCTACGGTTTACAGTTGAAGATAAACAATAAAATGAATTATAATAATTTTATGAATAAATCTCTCGTATTCTTCGTATTGTTATATTTATACAAGCAATTTTATTCGACAATTATTTCTATCGTCAGTGTCATTATTCATATTGTACGACAATCACATTCGTTAACTATCAGCAAATATCATTAAATGCCACCTTACAATCTAATAAATATATGCGTAAATATAGTACTAAATTAATTTATTAAAAAATTTATTTAAGCAACTTTAGTAAAAAATATATAGTATTAGATGATAAGAAAAAAAATATATTAATTCTTTAATATTTAAATCTAAATATAATTTTTTTAATATACAATATGCTTTGAGATTCAACAATAATTTAATTGTTCAAACAAAAATTGTTTTAATATTTACAGATTTCTAATATACAGAATATTTAGGTTAACTAAATTAATTGATTTGCTTCTGCCCTAATTTTTTAATTTAAAAAAAAAAAGTCAAATCAACTTTTAGAAAGTTCAATTATATTATATAAATTAGGAAAAAATAAATATTATAAAAGGAAAAAAAAGTACAAAATGTCAGTGAAGAGTCACGGAATTACATCAAAAGTCACTCTATAGTTGAGTTTTACATAATTTAATATTTTTATCGACTCAATTAGAACATGACATATTAAAATTTATCAGTAAATTTAATTAATAAAATATATAACATTTTAAAATAGAATATAAAATTTGTTATATTATGATCAACTTATATATAGGCACTCGAAAACACATACAAAATCTGTTTCACGATTTAAATAAAAATATTTGTTATGATTATCTTATTACGTATCCAAAAAAATAATTAGAATTAAACTCTATTTAATTTGAATATTTTAACTTAATATTTATTTAATTACTTATATGTTACATTAAATTTGTTATGCAATATTATATTAATAATCAAGGGACCAAAAATATTTTCAAACTCGATTTTTTTAATATTCACCCTCGTGCCACGAGAAATTCTTTTACTATTTCAGTCCCCAAATCTTTAGTGGCCCGTCGGAATGGCCCCTATCTGAAACTTAGTGTCCAATTTTGTCCTTTAATAAATTAAATTTCAGAAAATTATATCTTTGGTTGTCCTTTTGACACGTGTACACTCTTCTGCCTACTTTTTTTTTATATATATTTTTCTCTAATTTTATTATATTTTATTTTGAAAGCACAAGTTTAGTGATGTAAATATCTAAGAGAGGAAAATTTGAATATTTCAAGTTCATAATTTTAAAAAATTGGAGGATCAATTTTGGTGTTAAACATCGTATTGTAGCATAATTGATGAAATAGAAATTCATTTTCGATGTGTTGCTTAGGCTTAAATATAAGTTTTATAAAATAACGATGAAATCGACATTATTGTATAGGATAACGTATTTGATTATTCAAGAATATTTATATTTAAAGATGCAGGCATTAAGAATAAGAATAGTTAAATGAATGTGTATACATATTCTCATTGATACGATTAGAAAAGAAGTTATATTCGCCGAAGGGAAGGCGAATCAGTAACAGATAAAATAAATGAAGTAAATGAATTGATAAACTTGAAATAAGTTTCATTATCTTGATTAGAAATAATTAAAAAAAATTAGAATAGCTAATCTTAAATCAATATCAGCTTTCCAAAGAAATAACGTAATAGCTACATTAATAACACTTGAGATAATTTTACCAATCGCTAATTATAATGCTCCAACATAAAATTGAAAAAGATAAAAAACTTTTCTTTTTTAAAAAATATACTTTAAAAAATTATAATTAGACTAAATCGATTCAATAAAGCTAATTCATATTAACGATTTTACCTATCATAGTCGAAATGCGAAAAAGATAGTTAAAGATGCGCCTAACTCTAAAAAGTTTGGTGATATGTGGTTAGGTTAGTGGCTTTGTTACAAGACTTTGACTATGTCCTAGCTAGCTCTTCAAGTTTTGACACTACTTTATTTTTATTAATATCACTTCATATGAATATATAAAGTTAATAGTATATTTTTTTTTTAGGCATAATGCCCAAGTACCCCCTCAACTTATGCCCAAAATCTCAGAGACACACTTATACTATACTAAGGTCCTATTACCTCCTGAATTTATTTTATTAATAATTTTTTACTCCTTTTAAACCTACGTGACACTCTCTTGTGGGCCCAACGATGGTTGACTTTTTTTTTCAAACTAGTGCCACGTAGGCTAAAAAGGGATAGAAAATTATTTATAAAATAAGTTTAGGGGGATAATAAGACCTTAGTATAGTATAAGTGTGTGTCTGAGATTTCGGACATAGGTTGAGAGGTACTTGTGCATTTTTCCTTTTTTTTATTATAAAAAAAAGAGTTGGTTTTGTCTGTCTAGTCCCTAACAAGTTATTTGGAGATAAACTAATGAATAGTGAAAATCTACAAGACAAACTTATTATTTTTCCACTTTAATTTTATGATTGATTGTACCTTTTACTTTTTTCAGAATAGTAGTAAAATATTATAAATATTTTGTTGAATTAGTAAAACATAACTACAGTACATCTTTGTTCCCTTCCTTGAGATCATCAAATAGACATATTCTTTTATTGATTGGTGACTCCTTTTCCCCCCAACACTTCTTTTTAAGTTTTCATAAAACTTATTCTAATTTCGTCTTATATTAGTTGATCTTCTTGATTTAACGTATCAAAATCTTAATAAGCAGAGATATTTTATTGAGAGACTATAAACACCCCCCCCCCACTCCATCTCACCATAAGAGGTACCTCAACTAAAAACACTATATATACAAGAGTCGGAAAAAGTATTTATGATTGTTAAATAAAAAATAAAATTTATGTATTAGTTTTTATATAAGTTGTGTAATGTTTGTTAGTTAGTTAAAAGATAAATTAGTTACATATAAAATTAAGACGATTGATTTGTTATTTAGAATAATTGCTTAATTAATACATGTGTAAATTATGAGGAGATTAATGTATTATCTTAGGTAGGATAGAAGATAAAAGAATAGATATACACCCACACGATAAATACATATAATTCTAATCGTGGACCCTAACCAACATGAGTTGTCATATAGTGATGAGACTGTTTCACTCTTAGCTAGAGATCTAGGGTTTGAGTCATGTATATGAAGAAAATCTTCTTAGGAGCGCCACCCTTCAATAGGCTCTGTAGTACGCGATTCGAATTTAATCAAACTTTTAATATAAACTCTGAAGCTCGAGTGAATTTTTCTTTTTAAAAAAAATCAGCTTAAGGACCCCAAGTTAAAAAAGAGATAAGAATCAAATGCTTTTTAGCCTATCCCTATCTTTTCTTTATTAGAATTTGTAGTGTCTAAATTGGGTGGATTTGATACCTGAATTGAAAAAATACCAAAATTTATGGCCAAATTAAGGAGTCCTTTTGTTGTCCCCAAAGTTTCTTTCTTTTTCTTATTCCCATTTTTTCTTTATCTTTCATTATAGGATTTTTATTCTTTTTATTTTGGCAAAAATGTTTCCAACTTTCTCAAAAGTTATTTTCCTTTCTTTAAACCTTCTTTTTTAGGATATTTAGTCTATCTGTAATAGATAATCCATCTAATTATTATAATTATTATTATAATTGCTAAATAAACTATTTTTCTTGTTTTTTTTTATTACAAGTGTAACATAGCTTTTATATTCTTAGATTATCGACAACTATTAATAGTTACTACGTGTAACTGTGTGTATAAAAAGTGAAATTTGTACTACAAAATTTAAGAAAGAATGTAAAGTTTTTATAATATACTATGTAAAATAACTTTAAATTATTTATGTGATTGCAAAATATCTCATTAAAAAAAAATTAAAGTATATTTCTTTATCAAAACAAGGGATAATGTCCAAGTACTCCTTCAACCTATGCTCGAAATCTCAGAGACACACTTTATACTATACTAAAGTCCTATTACCCCCCTGAACTTATTTTATTAATAATTTTTTTACCCCTTTTCGACCTACGTGACACTATCTTGTGGGCCCAATGATGGTTGATTTTTTTTCAAATTAGTGCCACGTAGGCTAAAAGGCGTAGAAAATTACTTATAAAATAAGTTCAGGGGGATAATAGGACCTTAATATAGTATAAGTGTGTCTCTGGAATTTCGGATATAGGTTGAGGGGTACTTGTGCATTATCCCTTAAAACAGACAAAAACACAAATCTTGAAACATAAATCAACACAGAAAAAATTAACTTCATTAGAAAATAAATTTAAATTACCGGTTATAACAAGTTAAAATACATTATAAAATATTAATCCTAATCTCTCTCTATTTCATATTAATTGTCCATATTGCTCAAAATAATTATTCTAAATTATTGTCAAACTTACAAAACCACAATAAAATTAATTATATTACCCCCCCCCCCCTATTTTCTCATTAATAACAATTCTTTTTAAAAGTGTAAAATTTTAAAAATAAAATAAAATATTAAAAGAAATAAATAAGTAAAACCCCCCTTCTTATTAGTGATTATACATAAATTACAAACAATTAAATATAAGACGATAAAAATATCTAACACATAATAAAATTAATCAAAATACACATAATCTAATTTTTAAATACATTATAAAATTAATCAAAATATACACAACCTAACTTCTTTCATTCTTTGCCTAATATAAACACAATCTCTATAATTAGAAACTTTTGCCTATCTACCCCCCACCCCACCCACCCACCCCTCTCTACAATTAGGTCATCACACACACAAACATTTCTTTGTATTCTGGTTTATTCTTTGTTCCCTCTTTTATAAATTCCCTCTTTCTTCATAACTCTCTTAGTTCTATTTTTGGAAAATTAAAAAAAAAAAAACTCCTAATGGCTAGAGAAAAAATTCAGATCAAGAAAATAGATAACTCCACAGCAAGACAAGTTACATTTTCAAAGAGGAGAAGAGGTTTATTCAAGAAAGCTGAAGAACTTTCTGTTCTCTGTGATGCTGATGTTGCTCTCATCATTTTCTCTTCTACTGGAAAATTATTTGACTATTCTAGCTCAAGGTACATATCCATCATTTTTTCTTTCATTTACCTAATTATAACGACAGCAACATACTCAGTGAAATTCCGGGACCCGAAAAGAATAGTAGGTGTATGTAAAATCACCTAATTATCCTTATTTTTTGTTTGTGGTAGCTAGATTAGTTGTTTTCTAGACTAAAAAAAAGAAATTGGGAATAATTTTTGATTAGTTATTAAATAATAACGTATTTAGTAAAATTTTAGAAATGAATTTTGAGTAAAGTGATGTGTATGTGTATTTTATCTATAGGGTAGAGAGGTTTTTTCCGATGAATTTTAGGGCTAATTTAACAAGTGAAAATTAAAGTAATGATTTTTGTTAATTTTTTGTGAGGAATGAAGTTTTTTTTTTTTTTTTGGGTATTTTCTAAATGGGTGACTTTAGTTAGTCATGATTGAGGAGAATGATTAGAATTATTGAGTTTTGGATTTTTGTAAATATAGTTTATTAATTAATTATTATATTAAATGGATTTTTAGGTATAAATTTAGGGTTTGATTTTAAGTTATTGAGTTTTGTTGAATTCTTAGGAAAAGTTCTTCGCTGTTGTTTACAAATGGGTGTCTTTAAGCTAGTCATGATTGACAAGAATTATATCGAGTTATTTAAATTCTGAAAGAAGATTTTGATAAATTGTTTATATATGTAAAAAGTGAGATTTTATAATATAAATTTAAAAATTTGATCAAAAGCTATTAGATTTCATCGTGCCCGCATACAAATCTCTTCTCTATTATTTAACAAGTTATGTGCACTGATAATATTACTAATATACTTTAATTTGTTATAATACCAATTAAGTTACATAGTTTAATTTGTGTAGAAGTTAAGTTACTACTTTTGTCAAGTAATTTACTTATTAATTACTACATGGTTTTCACATAACATAAACACTTGCTATATTTAGCAACTATTGAGAAACCCACCTCAAGAAACTTTCTATTTTGTGTCATTTATTGACTCTTTTTTTTAGGTAAATAATTAATGAAAAAAACTTGAATTTTGTATTAGAAAACAAAGCTTCTAAAGACTCAATTTTTATTTAAAAAGGAATCAGAAAAAATGGAGAATAAACAATAATACCAACACAAAATGAGTGGTGTAGGAAGTAGTTAGTAGTTACCAGGTTATAAGAATTTTATGTTGTTTAAATTCTTCAAAAATATTATTACATTATATTAGATCATTTTATAACATGTAGTAATTTTTGATGATTTGATGTGTCAATGTAAATTTTATTCTTTTGGATTGAAAATATATATTTTCGCACACAATGACATTATTAAAGGATTCACAGAATATATATGTCAATTTCATTTATGAAATTCAAAAATTTTGTTACATTATTAATTAAATTGACTTGTAATAACAAATAATATTTTAAAGCTTAGATAGAACAATAAAAAAATAAAAGGGAATAAATTTAGCTGGATAATGTTATCGAAAGGGCCACCATATCTTATCTGTTTCACAGAAAGGCAATAATATTATATCTTATAATATAAAAATAAATATTATCATGGGAACTATATATTTATGGTGAATAGGACAAACTCCTTTTAATGGGGAAAAAAAGAAGCATATTTTAGGAATTTTATGTTTTTTTTTTGTATGGTATAAGTAAAAAGTAACAAATTTGATGAGCTATTTTTTTGAGGTGGTTGTGTGTGGTATATAAAATAATTGTTTTCCCCCTCTACAAGTAAATGTTTTAAGAAAGCTATAATGAACTCTCTTCATTCGGTATTGTTTGTCATAATTTTTATTTTTAGAGTTAAATTATGAAAATTTTGACTTACATTTTAAGATGTATTTTTTAATCATATTAATATGTAAAAAATTGTAATTTATAGTATTTTCCATATAATTTTAGGATATCTAATTTTTTTGTTTAAAATATCGAATTAATCTGATCTAATTTACCTTTGAAAATTAATCAAGTGACTTTAGATAAGTGCATCATGATAAACAATTCCGGACGAAGGGTGTATAATTAATCTACATTTTAATAATTTGATTTTTTTTTTATAATTCACTTATTTATCATCCTCGATATTTAAGCTTATTGAGTGTGTCATATATCAAAGATTAATAGATCGTCTTTTTATAGTCTTGAATAATCTTATACTTCATAGGTTTATTACTTTTGAAGTTGAGTCAGACTTATCCTTAGCTATTAGTATTATGTCGTTAAGTTGATAGGCCTGCTCGAATGGGGAAGAGGTGTTATCTATCCCACATTAGTTGACGGATGAGTTGTTTATGTCGGTGTTAAGCAATATTTTTCATTTGAGATTGAGTTAGATCTAAAGTCAATTTTCTCGACAGAAATTACAAATTTGTCTTTTACTTTCTTTGATGTTGTGTTCATGTGTCCCTAATATATTGGATACATGACACATACATACATTCTTCAAAGGAATTTAATATTTATGTATGTATCGACATCATAATTGATCACATAAAAGATAACTATATATAATTCTACCGTTCATCAATGATTTACGTACGATCTTAATATTTTTAATTTCTCATGAAGCATGAAACAAATTCTTGAGAGGCGTGATTTGCATTCCAAAAATCTGGAAAAATTGGATCAACCATCACTTGAACTTCAGGTAATTAATTCATTTATTTAATCCTTAATTACATTTTAATTAGTTTTTAAACAAATATTTTGTTTATTTTGTTTGCAGCTTGTAGAAAATAGCAACTACTCCAGATTAAGCAAGGAAATTTCCGAAAAAAGTCATCGATTAAGGTATATTTATAGTTACATTTGAAATCGACTATATGTATTCTCACTGTTCTTTTTAGTTCAATTCATAATATCCATCATCACATACGTCAAACAAAAGTAAAAGAGAGACAAGTTAATTTATATATATATATATATATATATAAAAAATTACGATAATAATAATAATATTAGAAGTTCTCTAACAAGTAGCATCGATTAACAGGCAAATGAGGGGAGAAGAACTTCAAGGACTAAATATTGAAGAGTTGCAACAATTGGAGAGATCTCTTGAAACTGGATTGAGCCGCGTCATAGAGAGAAAGGTCGGGATTTAACTTATATATATTGACATTATAAAATATATTTTATGTTATTAGTGTAATTTAATATGTCGTAACAAGTTATAATCGATTTTTCCCCTTTTTAATATCTTACACAACTTACGTTATCCATGTATCAGGGTGATAAAATAATGAGAGAGATCAACCAACTCCAACAAAAGGTTAGGAACAATATCGTTTAAGTGATCTGGTAGTGTATAATTTTTGTATCGCAATTTTACTTGGTTTTCATCGACGCTGATAATTGTTATTGTGAAAAATCAACAGGGTATGCATCTAATGGAAGAAAATGAAAAATTAAGGCAACAGGTATGCAAATTTTTTAACGAATGAGATAAAAATTGATTATTTTACTATAATTTTAGATAGCCGGTGATTACTGAAATCTCCGAGACATCAGGTTGAAATTTCAATAAAATCTATGAATTTGTAGATGATTTTTTCCTATTTCCGAAATCTCCGAAAAACTTAAGCTTTTTAAAATTAACTTTTTTATGGATACACTTGGAGTATCTAAATTATTCAAGACTTCAATAATTATGTTATTAAATGTTATCGTTGATATATATTTTTAATTTTTTTTAGGTGATGGAGATATCTAATAATAATAATAATAATAATAATGGATATAGAGAGGCAGGAGTAGTAATATTTGAACCAGAAAATGGATTTAATAATAATAATAATGAAGATGGCCAATCATCTGAATCAGTAACAAATCCATGTAACTCAATTGATCCTCCTCCTCAAGATGATGATAGTTCTGATACTTCTCTCAAATTGGGGTTAGTACTTTAATTCTTTCTTCTTCTTTTTTCCGGTCTCGTTTCGATCTCGTTTCGTATGAAAGATAAAAGAAATTATTAATTTCAATTTTAATTTTGTGAAGAAATAATCTATTTTGAATTGTTGTGTTGTTTGTTTTTAATACTGAAGGCGGAATAATGATTTTTAGAGAACTTATCCTAGAATTATTTTGAGATAACTTATTTTCCGTTCAAACGAATTGTGGTCGTGAAAAAATATTCGTTTATCAATACACTATTGGTAAATTGTATATCAAGTATCTACCTTCTGAAGGTGTTGCATACATATTACCCTTTTTAAACTTTACTTCGGTATCATGTTATTGTATATTGTTTATGTAAAGGGACAACAAAAGTTAGGGGCTAATCGAGTTCAGTAATTTTGACTCAAATATGATATTTGTGGGTTAAATTTTTTTATGAATATTTTATTATCGAAAGTAGAAGTCTTTGTACGGATTTGAATGAACCAAATATCTTTAGTTCATATCTTTGTATTGGTATTTAGAATACTCATAAATATGTACATTTTTTTTTTAATTCAAAACCTCGTTACTAACCCTTGATGTTGTTATCTTAAAATTTAGAACGTATACGTAATATTTAAATTTCAACTCTGTTCTATAGGTTCACCTTCATGTTCTAAATTTATAACCCATAATACATAAATTTAAAATTCTGAGTCCGTTTCTGATATTATATTTTTTTTCATCTTATTTGTTTTTTAAATGTCAGGCTACCTTACTCAGGCTGAAGAGATCAAAAGCAAGGTGTGGCTATTTTTGTATGTTATTAGAAGAAGGAGAAAAAAAAAAGTAACTACTAATTATTATAATTAATTAATGTCTGATTAATGTAAAAGCTAACCCCAAAAATTTCATATTATGTATGTAATTGGTGTATTAATCTCATGTATTCGTCTCCCATAGTTTATATAAATATTATTGTTAGTATCTATTAACTTAATTAACTAGCACTAATAATCTTTTATAATTGAACTTTGTGACTTGTAACTATATAAAGGCTTAATTATTTAATTATTTGACTTTTTTCTGTTGCTGTAAATTTAAATATTTACTTGGTGACGGTAAACTATACTTCTATCTATATTCAGTGTTGAACATTAGTTATTTGAAATTTTTAGTGGATGATTTATAATATGTTATTGTAAGAATAATTTAATTTAATTTTTTGAATCATTTCCGTATCTAGCACTAATTAATTTGTAGTCCTTATCATGTTCATATTTAATAGTTGAAGACATGCATAAAAACAATTCAATTACTTGAGTTTCATTTTCAAACCATTAGGTTGTATATGTTTCTTATCCAAATTATAATAAATCATTTATAGAAATTTTAACACAATTATTATGTGTGTACGTTTTTAATTTTTTTTAATCAAAATACACCTTAACTATAAGGAGTGTGAGCTTTCTAAACTATTTACCAAAACACATTTCAACTATCAAATGTACCGATTTTTTTTATCTAAAATAGGAAAAAACTTACCCGCAGAATGTTTACATCAAAGTCAATGCAATTTCCGTTATTATGTAATTTAATGAAGTAAAATGAATAATAAATTTCAACACATGACATACATATATTGACAGTGTAAATCTTCGACGTGGTTTTACCCCTAAAATATTATCATCATTTGAGTAAAAAGATAACAATATTCGATACTTGATATACCTTTTAAAAAAATCAAAACTGTTGCAAAGAAAGCTCAGAATATAAGAAGAAAAGGACAAGAAGTATAAGATAGAGGAGATAATTTTCTTATTCAAGTATGTATTACAAAAGGTGAATGATATCTCTATTTATAGAGTTGAGATATCACCCCAAAAGCCCCCATGATAAATGTCCAATTAGTAGGTACATAGTTATCCAAATGATTCTTATCACCTTGGGAACATGTATACATGAATACAATTAAGTCTTGAGTAAATCTAAAGGATAATCCACACAATCCAATGGATTTATAACACTTCCCCTTGGATGTCCATAGATTATGTGCCTCGTTAAAACCTTACTAGGAAAAACCCAGTGGGAAAAAGCCTAGTGAAGGAAAAAGAGTACACATATCTCATAATACGCTTTGAATGTTGCCTCATTAAAAACCTTACCAGGAAAACCCAACTTGGGACAAAACCATAGTTAAGGAAAAGAGTACAACGCGTATTTCGCTCCCCCTGATGAAAACTTTACTTGATATCTCGGAGACGGCGCATTCCAATCTTGTATCTCAACTTCTCAAATGTTGATGTTGGCAATGCCTTAGTGAATAAATCAGCAAGATTATCACTTGAACGAATTTGTTGAACTTCTATCTCACCATTTTGTTGAAGATCATGCGTGAAAAAGAACTTTGGTGAGATATGCTTTGTCCGGTCTCCTTTGATGTATCCTCCTTTCAATTGAGCTATACATGCAGCATTATCTTCGTACATTGTGGTTGGTATATTCTTTTTCAAAGAAAAACCACACATTTTCTGAATATGATGGGTCATTCGACTTGCTTCATGGATGGCTATTATTTCTGCATGATTTGAAGAAGTGGCTACCAATGTTTGCTTCATTGATCGCCAAGATATTGCCGTGTCTCCACATGTAAACAAATAGTCTGTTTGTGATCGAGCTTTATGCGGATCTGATAAATACCCTGCATCTGCGTAACCAATCAGTTCTGATTTGGATTCATTGGAATAGAATAAACCCATGTCCATGGTCCCTCGAAGATATCGAAGTATGTGTTTAACACCATTCCAATGTCTTTTTGTTGGGGAGGAACTGAATCTTGCCAGTAGACTTACTGCAAAACAGATATCTGGTCGAGTATTGTTAACAAGGTACATTAGTGCCCCGATCGCACTAAGATAAGGAGTTTCATCACCAAGAAGCTCTTCATCATTCTCTTGAGGTCGAAATGGATCTGTATTGATGTCAAGAGATCTTACCACCATTGGAGTACTCAATGGATGTGAGTTATCCATGTAAAAACGCTTTAGTATCTTTTCTGTGTACGTTGATTGATGAACAAGTATTCCATTTGACAAATTCTCAATCTGTAGACCAAGACAAAATTTTGTCTTCCCGAGATCTTTCATTTCAAATTCTCTTTTCAGACACTCAACAGCTTCTAAAAGCTCTTTACGAGTTCCAATGATGTTCAAATCATCAACATACACAGCTATTATTACAAATTCAGACCCCAACCGTTTAATGAAAATGCAGGGACAAATCGAGTCATTTTTGTACCCTTTCTTTAACAAATATTCACTCAAACGATTGTACCACATCCTTCCTGATTGTTTCAGTCCATACAGAGATTTCTGAAGCTTTATTGAACAAGTTTCTCTTGAATCTTTGTATGTTTCAGGCACTTTAAATGCTTCAGGAATTTTCATGAAAATGTTGTGGTCCAATGAGCCATATAGATAGGCTGTGACAACGTCCATTAGACGCATTTCAAGTTTTTCATAAACTGCCAGATTTATGAGATATCTAAAGGTGATTGCATCTACCACTGGAGAATATGTCTCCATATAATCAATGCCAGGTCTTTGAGAAAAACCTTGAGCAACGAGTCGGGCCTTATATCTCATGACTTCACCTTTCTCATTTCTTTTTCGTACAAAAATCCATTTGTACCCCACTGGCTTGATACCTTCAGGTGTTCGGATTATTGGTCCAAAAACTTCACGTTTTTCTAGTGAAGCCAATTCAGCTTGAATTGCATCCTTCCATTTTGGCCAATCATTTCTCTGTCTACATTCGTGAACAGATTTTGGCTCAAAATCTTCATCTTGTTGCATTATTTCAATAGCAACATTATAGGCAAATATGTTGTCAATCACAACATTATTTCGGTTCCAAAACTTTCTCGTCGAGACATAATTCATTGAAATTTCATTATTTTGAGAAGTTCGAACCTCCTCCTCATCATGTGTTATGACTTGGGTCTCATCTTGAGAAATTTCTTTCAACCCATGATCATCTTGATCATTTATTCCTTTTCTTTTTCGAGGATTTTTATCCTTGGAACCAATTGGTCTACCACGCTTCAAATGTGGTCTAGACTCATTTGCCTTAACAATTTGTCCCGTCGGGATATCAACTCGAACTGGAGCATTAACAGCTGGAATATACGATTTAGTAATCCTTGGAAGATTCGTAAATGCATCTGGTAGCTGATTTGCAATGTTCTGCAAATAAATTATTCTTTGAACTTCTTGCTCACATTGGTTTGTTCGAGGATCCAGATGAGATAGAGATGATGAATTCCAATCTATCTCTTTTCCCAATGACTTATGTTCTCCCCCTAATGTTGGGTATACTGATTCATCAAAATGACAATCAGCAAATCTTACCTTAAATAAATCTCCAGTCATAGGCTCCAAATATTTTATGATTGAAGGAGATTCATACCCAACATATATCCCCAACCTTCTTTGCGGCCCCATCTTTGTGCGTTGTGGTGGAGCAATTGGGACATACACCGCACATCCAAAAACTCTAAGATGGGAAATGTTTGGCTCTTGACCAAAAGTCAATTGTAAAGGGGAGAATTCATGATAATTGGTTGGCCTTATGCGCACAAGTGTTGCTGCATGCAAAATAGCATGCCCCCACATAGACACAGATAACTTTGTTCTCATTAGTAATGGTCTAGCTATCAATTGCAGACGTTTAATCAATGATTCTGCTAGACCGTTTTGAGTGTGAACATGCGCAACTGGATGTTCAACAGTTATACCAGTAGACATACAATAATCATTAAATGCCTGAGATGTAAACTCACCAGCATTATCTAGACGGATTGTCTTTATTGTATAGTCTGGAAATTGTGCTTTCAATCTTATTATTTGAGCCAGCAATCTCGCAAAAGCCATGTTGCGAGTTGATAATAAACACACATGTGACCATCTTGTAGAAGCATCTATCAAGACCATATAATATTTAAAGGGTCCACATGCAGGTTGAATTGGTCCACATATATCACCCTGTATACGTTCCAGAAACGCAGGGGATTCAATTCCAACCTTAACTGTTGATGGTTTAATGATCAACTTTCCTTGAGAACAAGCAGCACAAGAGAATTCCTTTGATTGAAGGATATTTGGGCTCTTTAAGGTGTGTCCATGTGAATTCTCAATGATTTTGCGCATCATATTAAATCCAGGATGGCCCAACCGGTCATGCCAAATGATAAAATCATTAAAATTAGTAAACCTTTTGTTTACTACGGCATGTGATTCAACTGTACTTATACTTGTATAGTACGACCCAGAAGAAAATGCAGGTAATTTTTCATGCACAATTTTCTTCTCAACATTAATTGTAGTAATGTAAAGGTATTCAACCTTTCCTTCATTAGCCGTCTCAACATGATAGCCATTTTGGCGAATAACTTTGAAACTTAATAAGTTTCTTTGAGACTTACTACAATATAATGCATTATCAATGCTTAATATTGTCCCTCCAGGTAGTAATAAGGTCGCTCTTCCAGAGCCCTCAATTAATTTTGTACTACCTGATATTGTGTTGACATATGCCATTTTCATAACCAAATTAGAAAAGTATTTCTTTTCTTTTAATATTGTATGCGTTGTAGCATTATCAAGAAGGCATACATCTCCATTACTCATCTTGAATCCAACTGACAACTGGGGATTTCTATTAATTTTCATTAAAATAAAATACATCAAAAGAAGGAAGAAACAAAATTAACAACGGAAATTTAAATACTTCAACATAAATAACATGATAATTAAAAATACATAAGTAAAATATTAACAGACTTCATTCCCCAGCTAAAAGATCAAAATCAGTTTCGATCTCCAAAGAAGTCATCAACTTCCATATGAGTAATGTCACCAAGGCCATCAAAAACATCATCCTTTAAAGCCAAATTTGCTTCAACATTCTTATCATATTTCTGAGATGTTCCCGGCTTATCATCATCTTTAAGAGTCATATGTGACTCAGCTCGAGCATTGGAAGAGGAAGCACCACTTTTATTTCCTTTCTTTTTAAAGGAATTTTGATAGAGCCTTACAAAATGTTCATGTGTGCGACATTCATTCTTCCAATGGCCTTTCATGCCACAACGACGACAATTACTTTTTGAGGGGTTATTTTGAGAACTCATGTTGTTCTCCCTTTTATTATGACCACCACCTTGACGATTAGTGTATCGTCTTTTATCTTTGCCACGTCCCCGTGCATTATTATATCCCCCATGATCATCTCTTTTTACTTTAGATTGATCACGTGCTTCCACCACATTTGCCTCCGGTAATGGAGCAGCTCCAGTGGGACGAGCTTCATGATTTTTCATTAAAAGAGCATTATGTTGCTCAGCCACCAACAGACATGAGATTAGTTCAAAATATTTCTGAAAACCCTTTTCACGATATTGCTGCTGCAATATCACATTTGAGGCATGGAAAGTAGTAAGTGTCTTTTCCAACATGTCCTCATCTTTTATAGTCTCTCCACATAATTTCAACTGGGAGGTTATCCTGAATACAGCAGAGTTGTATTCAATCACGGTCTTAAAATCTTGAAATCGTAAATGCATCCACTCATAACGAGCTCTTGGCAACACTGTTGCCTTTAGGTGGTCATATCTCCCCTTTAAATCAGTCCACAATTCAAGTGGATCTTTCACCGTCAGATATTCAATCTTCAGGCCCTCATCAAGATGATGACGAAGGAAAATCATAGCTTTCGCCTTATCTTGACTCGATGCTTCATTTCCCTGAGTAATAGTGGCATCAAGACCTTTAGCAGCCAAGTGAATCTCAGCATCGAGTACCCATGAAAGATAATTCTTTCCAGAAATATCTAATGCCACAAACTCAAGTTTGGATAAATTCGACATAATGAAATTATGAGAGAATATGTGAATCAAATAAAAATATTTATATAATACCTTTGCAAGTAGCAACTTCGTGCTGATAACGTGTTGTAAAGAAAGCTCAGAATATAAGAAGAAAAAGACAAGAAGTATAAGATAGAGGAGATAATTTTCTTATTCAAATATGTATTACAAAAGGTGAATGATATCTCTATTTATAGAGTTGAGATATCATCCCAAAAGCCCCCATGATAAATGTCCAATTAGTAGGTACATAGTTATCCAAATGATTCTTATCACCTTGGGAACATGTATACATGAATACAATTAAATCTTGAGTAAATCTAAAGGATAATCCACATAATTCAATGGATTTATAACAAAAACAATTATTCTTCTATTTGTAATTTCTTAATTTGTAAGTCAAATACTCAACTGTGAGACTATTGGTTGTTAACAACCGACAAAACATTGATCACCAAATTTCACTTTCTTAATATTAAATTTCATCCCAAATCTACCTTCTCCTTCTCCATCTTAGCTTATTTTCACTGATTTAGTTGCTTAGTTCTACTACAATCATAAAGTGAAGCAGCCAGCATCGAAAATCTGTTTGTTTTGAGCAAAAAATGGGATCTGTTTCTTTGAAAATAGGTGATGGAACTGCTAGATTCAAGAAAGCTACATATTGTTCTTCAGTTCTAAATCTACTTATGCTTTTCTCTGTTGTTACAACTAATCTTTTTGCTTTATATGCTTTTACATCCTCACCCAAAAACCCCCATCATCATCTTCTTCTCCCACATACTCACAAGAACATATCTTTAATCTCAGAACAAGTTTCTTTAATTCTAAGACAGATTGATTCTTCACAAAAAAAACTTGCCCAAATGGAAAAAGAGCTTTTAGGCTATGAAAGTTTTGATCTTTCTAGTCCCAAAGTTCCAAATGAAGTGAGAAATTTCTTGCAACCCCATTTGCTGCCTTTGGGTAAAGATTCAAGAACTGGGATTACTGAAATGGTAGCTTCTATTGGACATTCTTGTGTGAAATCTTTAGATTTGCTTTCTCAGTTTATGAGTTATAAGGTTAATGGTCTTTGTCCTGATGATTGGAGTCTTGGGCAGAAGCTGATTCTTAGTGGCTGTGAGCCTTTGCCAAGAAGGAGGTGTTTTGCTAAGACAATACCTAAGGTTGGTTTACTTAAATTACCTGATTCATTTTGGGGAAATTATAGTGAAAAGATTTATAGTTGGAGTGGTCTTGGTTGTAAGAATGTAGCTTGTTTAAATGTTAAGAAATTGAATAGAGATTGTGCTGGTTGTTTTGATGTTGTAAGTAGTGGGGGGTATGAGAAGCAAAGATATGTTAAGGGTAGAGGGAAAAATGATTTCTTGATTGATGATGTATTGGGAATGCTGGGAAATGGTGGGGGAATTAGAATTGGATTTGATATTGGTGGTGGATCTGGTACATTTGCTGTTAGAATGGCTGAAAGGAATGTGACTATAGTTACTGCTACGTTGAATGTCGATGCACCATTTAACGAGTTCATTGCTGCACGGGGTGTATTCCCGTTGTATTTGAGTTTAGATCATCGGTTTCCCTTTCATGATAATGTGTTTGATTTGGTACATGTGGGAAATGTATTGGATGTGAGCGGACGTCCTGAGAAGTTAGAGTTTTTAGTGTTTGATATTGATAGAGTTTTGAGGGCTGGAGGGTTGTTTTGGTTGGATAACTTTCTTTGTTCAAATGAAGACAAGAAAACTGCATTAACGAGGCTGATCGAACGTTTTGGGTACAAAAAGCTTAAATGGGTTGTTGGTGAGAAGATCAATGGGTCGGGAAAATCTGAGGTTTATTTGTCTGCTGTTCTACAGAAACCAGTAAGAGTTTGATCGTATCGCGGGGTTTCTCATAGAAAAGCTGTGCATGTTCATTATTGACATAGAATAAGTGAACGTATTCGTCTTCTTTTACACAACTGCTAACCAGCATCATAGGAGGGAGGCGGGTTCGGCTTTGTGGCAGGTATTATATGTCTACGATCTCTAAGATTATTCACTTATCTTTGGCATTGAACTAGATATTGCTGGCATTGGCATGAGCCTTTTGTCTGTGTCAATTGTTAATTTGAGTTTAGGAAGAAAAGAAAACGAAGCTTTTTTCCAAATTTCATTGTATTGTTGGGATATAAGTTAAAATCCTCTGATATTGTCCCCTTGATTAAAGCATTTGGTTGATGCCTTTTCGACATATCGTTATGTTATTGATAATTTTGTTTGATATAAACTTGTGGTATACTGTGTGCAACTTAAAACATGTGAACTGTCTGAGATACAATAACTAATACCAAATGTTACACACAGAAATAGTCGATTATTCGAATTTGGTAGGTACTTTTTTCCCTAGAAAAGAAAAGTATGATCAAGAGGACTCTCTCGTTCTTCAAGTATCATTAGAGCCACAATGCTAGTCCGCCTATAAACCGTGTCCTCAGGGATGGAGCCACAGTGCTAGTCCGTCTCTGTCCTATGCTTTTTTGGTTCAGAGAGTGCTTTCTTTCTCTGCCCAAGCATGTAACTATAGAGGTGAGAAAAGCCTGCATTTTCACGAACATCGTCTTGTTAATCATAGCTCTGGCTATCCTAATAATAATCTAAAAAGAAAACTGTAATAAACTTGATATTCTGTCTCCGAGTTCCCTCACCAAGAAACCGAGTAAATAAACATAATTGCTTTTAGTAAGAGAATGATGTTATGGTTCTTGCCTGGTAAATAAATGGCAAGGCAAACAAATGCTGCATAGTAGTAATTAAAAGAGAAATTCCATTTATTTGGCATCCTAACAGAATACTTTCCAGATTCCTACGAAAAAAACAAGTCGATAACAAGACATAGTCAGCCATCCTTCAAGTACGCACAGGGTAAACCTTGCTTCAGTGTAATAGCCACATGGGAGAGGTAGGCAAGCTCGGTGTGATGAGCTCGATCGAGAAAGCATGCAAGGGGTTTCGAACCTCCCCTGCTCAACCAACTCGGTCACCCTTGCGGGTTAGCTCTTTGCCACCTCTTCAATGGATAGAAAGACAAGTTTTATTGCCTTTTCTAAGTGAGAAAGAAACACACTAAGATAGAGGATATTGGTACCTTCATGTAAGGAAGGGCATTATATATTAGACCTACTTCACTTGTGATGCCAATAGGATACAACAACAAGAAAGTACTATACCTGCAGTAAGGAAATCAGCTTAATAAGAACATGCTACAAACTATACCCATCAACTGAGGCATAGTCACGATTTCAACTTTATGGATTCCGAATTTTAGAATGATGAGTTCAAGTTAAATAGTAATACCTTAACCACAAGAGCCAAGAAGGTACAGAACCAAATGCCTCCCTTATGCCAAAATATGAATATCGAATAATCTGAAGTTGAACATAACGATGTTAGAACAAGTTATGTGCTGATGGTTTTTATGAATAAGCAAAGGCTCACCTCTGTAATAGACCAGCTAATAACTAGAGAACTAACAAGTATATGACTCCGGACCTGTAATCAACAAGTCTGTCAATAGTAAAGAAGCTTCGGAATGCTTTACTGTGATCTACAAGGAAAATACTTACCTCTGGAAAACTCCATAAAATTCCCCAGGATACGTATAATCTTGAACTTATCTGTGGAAGTGTTGCTGATATTGGAGACCTTACCAAACCTTAGTTGAGGATGAAGAGAAAGATAAACGAGTTATTGTTATATATATCAAAAGTTCTAGCTAAAACAAAGAACACAGAAATGCTTCAGATCAAATGAATGTACCTGCTAGACTATGAAGTATCTGTTCAGCAAGATATATGGACAAGAAATCAACTGTTAGACTTCATTCACATATTTGCGTTTCACTTAAAACAATACAGTACGATACAACACAATATAATACATTATGAAACATCACGTAACAAACACAATAGAAACATGGCTTCAGATATTACCTCCAAAAAAGCAGCAGTTTGAGCAAAAATCAGAGGCTTTTCCACAGCATCATAGACATATTCATACCCAGTCTCTTTCAAAGTTTTCACACCAAAATACTCGAAACCTAAACACCAAAAACCCAAAATCCATCACACACACCCAACACCACCACCACCAACAAAAACACCAAATGATTGTGAAAAATAAACAAAAAATCCAAAAGGGTATTCAACTTACCATCCAAAAAACACAATCCAATTGTAAAAAATGAGATACAAACGCCTTAAACCTGATAAAGATCTAGCCATTGAAGAACAAAGAAAAGGCTCAAAATTATGTACTTAAAGAAACAATCTTTATGCATAATTAAGCTTAGTATTAGTAGATTAACCCACCTATAATTCGATTTTCGCTGCCTCTATTAAGTGTAGCTCAATTCTTTTTCTGAAACTCATTTTGATAAACTTAGATTTTTTTTAAATGGTATGCAGGATACGTTCGTCATATTTTTGTTACATTGATGCCCTGTCGTAAAAAAACTAGAGCGTATATATCTTCACTACTATACAGGATATATATGCTCTAGCTTTTGGACGATGGGGTATCAACCTAACAAAAATATGACAAAGCGTATTTGCATACCATTCACCATAGTTCAAAGCATATTTATTTTTTAATATAAAAAATAGTAAAAAAAACGACGTAGTATTATGCTTGGATTAAGTTGTGAAATTTGTAGCCTGTTTGGTAAGGTTCTAGGAGTATTTTACACACTATCTTAGTATATTGGTTTGACTAATATATCATCATACATGTTCTTTTTTCGTAATTTGAAACTTAAAAAATAAGGATTTAGCTTTTCTAATTTAATGTTAAATCGACGATGTTCTTAATTAAAAAAAAAAAAAAGTAAAGAGAAGAAGCAAAAAAGCATAGCTACTCAAATCTAGCATCAACATGCTCTAATCTTATTAGCATGTTGTTTCTTTTCATACTATTTCATCAAATCATAATACTTAATTGGTTATACTATGATCATTATTTCTCTACTAAATAAATAAATATTATTATCAATTTATAATAAATATTTCATTTTGATATAAATTGCTTAATCTCTAACATTTTAGTGGTTGGCTGAATTATTTACTGTATAACAAGCTGCCACGTGGCATACCATTATTTAAATATTATTCTTTGTCTAAAAAATTAAAAAATTAACAAAAAGTTAACATGCCGTACAAAAGAGAATTTTTAAAATGTATGTAGATGATTAGGTGAACATATATGAACAAATTTCTAAGTAATTCTTTAATCTTGTTCATTTATTCAATTGTATAATTATCCTTTTAATTATTTAATTAATGACATGATCCTTAAACAAAAGAGTAAAACAAACTAACTACTAGATGAAAGAAGAATCAAAACGTCAGGTAAATGTGAGGCTTGTCTTATTTTCCGCATGCATTGGGCAGTCCATGATTCATCTGGCTCGATAGAAATCGATAATTTTAATTTAAATATTTCGTAATCAGATTTTAAATGACAAGTGTAATCAGATACCAATCGTACGTGTTAATTCAGTCATCTTACGTTTTCTTTATTTCTTTCTCTTACTTTTTGACTTATTTTAGTTTTATTATTTTTATTTTTATTTTATTTCAATTTTTAATTTATCTTCTACCCCAATTTTCAAGCTTCCTCCGTTTTCTTTCTTTATTCTTTCTTTTTCACCTCTTATCCTCGCCTAACCCTACACCCATATCAAGTTGAGTCCCTCCATTTTCTTTCTCTTTTCTTCTTCTTATTTGGTCAAATTTCTTATTTTCTAAAATTATACTATTTTTTAGACTTTGTTGAGTTATTGAAAATAAAACTCATTATTTTTCTAAGAAAGATCAAAATTTTGAAGGTATCATCATTTAATTTATCTCATTTTCATATAAATTCAAAACAAAAAATGATAATTTTGAAGGCATAAGAATTCTCCGAAAATTGAAAAAGTTTAATTAGAATTTGGATAAAACTAAATAATGTCTACTAATCATCTTGAAATCTAATGTGTTTATCACATTGTTCGAAATGTATTAAAATATCTAGATATAATTATAAAATTGAAGAGAGTTAAACTAATAGTAGAATAAAAGAGACATGGAGTTGTGGTAAAAAGTGTCATTAAAAGTGATAAGTTAATGAATATGACAATGAATTTTTGAAGAAGAAGGAAGAAAGAAAAAGAAAAAAATAATAAGGAGAAAAAATAAAAATAATAAGAAAAATAAAAATATATTTTTTATAGTAAAATTTTTGTAAAAATAAAAGTATATTTGTTTTTTAGTTTGTTTACGCTCTTTAAAAGAGTGTATACACTCTCCATGCCAAGTGGACAAAAAATGATGTAATAATATCAGTTCAGGATTGTTTAGGGGGTAATATGACTCTTGCATAGTTTAAGTGTCTTTTTGAAATTTCGAAAAAACTTTAGATGTTACTTTATGTCTTTTCTCTTATATATATATATGGCACATTTATATGTATGGGCATGACACATTGGATTTGTACAGGATCTCCTCTCCTTTTGTTGAGAGCAAAGCGTCACACACACACACAGATATATATATATATATATATATATATATATATATACACTCGAGAAAGTAATAAATTCACACACTCGAGAAAGTAAATAAATTCATACTTCCACATCAATTAAGAGATAAATGTTTATGATTACTAAGTAACTATAAACATAAATATCAAAAGGGTGTCACATAATTTCTTGTTCTACCCTAGCTCGTAACGAAGGATTGAATTTTATTTCATGTTTCACTACTTGTCAAATAAATTTAAAATCGTTGTGTCGTGTACTCGTCTTTACTTGATTTTCTTTATCCTTTGAATGTGAATAATAATATTTCCTTCACTTTATAAATGGAATATAAAATGAAGAATCTTAATAGCTTAGTTGATCGGCTGTCTGAATTTTAACTTAATTATTTTTTTTTAAAGAAAAAAAGAAAAGTAAAAGAAGAAGAATGAGGTAGAAAATTCCTTTATACCCTAAAAAATGTAAAAAATAAAAATAAACTAACCATAAAGCACAAATTGATGTATTTATAATTAATTAATCATATTTAAGTTTAAAAAAATTATCTTATACATATCACACGTTAAAGAGAAGTCAAATACACATCAATCGAGGCAATAACATTTGCGTAGATATCAAGACTATATTTTATAATTTTAAAAAAATGTGGAATTCTAAGCTTAATAAAGAAAAAAAACTGTTCTTTTCATAAAATAATGCAACTGTTTTGAGAATTGCTCAAAATCTGAAGATTAAATTTTATTTCATGCTTTGCTACTTGTTAATTAAATTAAAAAGTCACAAATTCATTAACTTAACGTCAAAATCAATGAAAAAATTTACTAAAAAAGAAGCATTATTAACAAATTGATGTATTAATCATAAAAGAATTTATACATATCACACGTTAAAAAAAGTCAAATACACACCTATCGAGGCATTTGCGTAATCGAGATTATATTTTATTGAGATGTTTGAAGATTATATATATTCATAAAGTTTAATATATGTCAAATTATTTTACATCAAATAAATTAAATTTATCATAGTTAAGTGATTTGACGAAGAATATATATATTCTTTGTCAAATTTATATATCTTCCTTTTGAATCAATTCCTACAGCTAAGCTGCATTAAGTTGTATTATTGGAAAGCAATTTGTAGGGATGTACCTAAAGCCATTAATTCAATAATCATATTAATTATGTGGGGAATTATTTTATTAAAACCAATAATTCCATGATTTGGACTATTGAAAGAGACTTTATAGTTTATTCCTTAATGTTATTAATGTTAATGAATCCCCATAAGATCAAAGATAATTACCACTATTATTTTTGTCCAATAAGTCTTGTGAATAATATTTTATTTTATTATAGTCAGAGATATCGATTTTAAATTCCATGATACAAAAACACTCTTATAAGTGAACATTTTATATATTGATATGAGTTTTTTAACGCGAATTCAAATTTCGTTCTACACAAATAAAAAAAATTGCTCATTTGATTTCATTTTCACCATATTTTAAAGTTTTATTTGAAATCTTTTAGTTTCAAACATGTTATAATAAGTTGGTGCATTATATCAACATAAGTTATGGTGCATTATATCAACATAAGTTATGGTGCAGTGGTGAGACTGATTCACTCTTAACCAGAAGTTTTGGGTTCGAATCCTGCGTATGAATAAAATCATATTAGGAACGTCACTCTTGAATGAGCCTTGTAGTATGCGATTGAATTTATCCAGGGCTTCAATATAGGCTCCGAAACTGATCAATTATAAAGAATTAATTATTTATTATTTTACTCATTTTATAAACTTTTTTTATCCTAAAGAGCAAACATTTAGAGTCCATTTAAAGTGGAAAATGGCACCCAAAATAGCACCAAAAACAGTCAAAGTAGAAAAGACAAAAAGCCTTTCCTCATCCCATTCCCTCAATGCCAAAACACTCAAAACAAAAATTATAGTGAAAGACAGTAAATATTTTTTAATTTTAATTAAAGATTTTAAATCGATCTTGATAAATAAAGTCATTTAAAATATTCTTTTTGGTTAATATTTGGAATAGTAAGTATCAAAGCAATCGTGATTCAGATAATCTTATCAATACATTAAAAAGAATTATCTCTCATTCGACTAAACGAAGCTCTGATGATTGATTTATGTAAATATCTCTTTTTAGGTTATTATTTAGATTTGTCTTATTTATAAAAATTATATAAATAAAATTCTTGAAAAATTATTCTTCCAGACAACTTTTGAATATTGATTGGTCTTATTTGATAGGATTTACGCGTTATCAAATTTATGAAAAATATTTCCATTAACTAAATTATTTCTGACCCTACCTTTGGATTTTTATATTATTGGTACACAATCTATGAAGGTCTTCCCTACCTACATTACAATGTTCCACCCTTTAATAAATGAATTTTAATGGTCGAAATATTACTAGGGACTTGACTGGAACGTAGGTTGTTCAAAATTGAATCGAAAAAAAATTATTAATTTATTCATTATGGGTTATAGATTTAGCGGTTTTGTTAGTAATTTTGACTTTTTTTTGATAAGGTTATTGATTCTTAATGGGCTAATCAGAGGCGGAGCCAAGAATAAGAGTTTGGGGGTTCACAAGTTAATATATATAAGAAATTTTAATTTTTCGAGACAAATATAAGATCTCTGAAAAAGCTAGTTGATTCGTCCGAACCCATG